GAAAAAAACAATGATGTGGCTAGATCAATTGTTTTAAGAAAGTCACAACACTTTGACTCCCCTGGGGACATTTTAAAGCATGAAGCGAGGCAATGGGCTCTCAAGAAATCAGAAAGGGATCCAAGGAAGTATAATAAGCGCACAGCAACGTATTGGGAGAATACTATCTACGAAAAGCGAGCTCGCAAGCATGAAACCTTAACTGACAGATCTCCACCTACTCATAATAACAGGGAATTGAACAGACATGTCAATTTACAAGAAATGACTGTAGCTCAACTAAAGGATGAACTAAAACAAAGAAATGTCAAAGGATACAGGAGCAAAACAAAAAAGGAATTAATCAAACTGCTAGAAAAATATAGGTKATAGTATGAAGGGACAACCCCATATCAAGATACATTTTTCACTCATTATTTGATATATTCAGTTGAGTTTTATTGAACAGCCTCAATGAAAACATAGTAAAACATGTAAGCTCTCTTAGTGACAAACATTTGACATTTGGTRCTGTATTATTCAGTGGTTATAAGACTATTTTGTCAATGCTTTCAATAAAATTGAATATTTAACTTTGAGCTTTTAAAAGTAAACAAAACACAAAGCCACAGTTTGTTCAGCTACACTGTATCAATCTTGCAAAGATTAATGCTATAAAAATGTATTTGTAAACAAGGTTTAACTACAAGTTATTTTCTGATTCAGTAGAAATAGAAACAGGTTGTTTTAAAAAATCTATTGCTAGTTTCTCGAGAGGCATTCTTGGTAATTCACTAAGAGCTCCATTTTGACAAGTGATTATCTTGGGAGACCATGAAAAACGCTTTTGAACTCGAATAGGAAATTTAATTTCAACTCCATCTCCATTCTTATCAAGACACTGATTCCAACACTTAGGGAAATAGTCAAAACAGACACTGAAATCGTCTTTTTCTAACATAATGGCTTTCCTGTCTCTAGATATTCTGCCTTTGCCATTAAATAGCCTTCGGAAACAGTCGTGTTGAAAAGAAATAACAACAGGTGATCTTGATTTACTTTTTAATTTATGTCCAATGGCACACATAAGGACATCTATGTTCTGTATGAGTCTTCCCAACGGAACTGGCGGGTTGTTGTATTGTCTGTAAAAATGGTTCGGTGTATTATTCATGTAAGCTCAAATTAAGATGTAAGCTTATTATTTTATCTAAACTATTAGTAATTTACTCACCGTATAAGATCTGAGCTCAAACTGTTTTCATCTACCCACGAGCATTCATGTGAACTGTACCCCTTCCATATTAACAAATATTTCACCTACGGGAGCCAAATGAATGATATTTTTCTTGGCATTCGTCATAAGTCTTTGAACTATACKTGCTTACTCACCTTTCCTTTGAGTACTGCCTTTTTAACCACTCTTTCAACCTTATATATATTATTGGTAGCCATTTTKAAATTTTGAGTACGCATGCGCAATGCTCAATTTATGCATGAGCCCGCGTTTGTACATCGAACCGCTGACTGTATCGAATTTCTGGGAATGATCATATCAAATTATATGAAATTGAGATCGAAAATAAGGAAAATGAAAGTAAAAATGAAGCCAGAATAATAATTGTAAAGGCACATACATACCAACTGTCTGTTGAACAGACGTCGGTGCTCTTGCAGCTGACGAGCTGTTAGTGTGTCAGTGGTGGATGTAGATGTGGAGGCAGGAATAGAAAAATTTCTCTCGAGACTTTGGGCCCCCTGCCTTAGCAGATTCAAGGCCTGMCTCAATTCTTCATTGTTATTCGACTGTCGAAAGCAACAACACACAAACATACCTCTATATAAATATCAACAAAACGAGTTATTATAGAATTATAATTCAAATAAATAATACACTGGATAAAAGAATTAAATAAATTGAAGGAGTCTACGCAGCCACACGGTTCTGTTTATACTCTAATACTTTAATTAGCAGTTGACACGCCGCTGAATGATGCAAATAACATTTCAAGGTTACCAAGGAAACTACCTAGTCCATTCCACAACTTGCTTGACCATTTGACATGATTTGACAAGCATGCCAAGATCTGACATCGGAGGTTAGACCAATCGGTGATAAGCGTCACCGATAAGGGCATGCTGTGCCATTTGATAACGACTACTGGACTATTTAAAGTTCAGCTATTCCGTTTGACTTCGGCTTCTATCCCATTCGATAGTTGCAGGAGCCCATTACTAGGAGCCTTCCTCTTACCATGGGCTTGTGTAACGGCATTTACAGTAAACACCCGCGAGTAAGAACCTCGATTTTTAGCACTTAGGCTAAACGGGTTCTTATATAAATGGTGGTTAACAGAATTTTAGGCTAGTTAGGTTCTTAAAATAGGTTCTTAATCTTGAAGAAAGACATGGGTGCCAAACAAGTTGGTAAATGTCCTGTACTGTATTTGATGTACAGATTCACCTTCCCTTCTCCACGCCACCCCCCACAGAAATTAAAAACATCAATTTATAAATTTACAAATTTGTGTTAAGCTTTAACAGTAACTATTCAATTAGCACATAAATATTAAACATTGGTAAACAAAGCCCAAAATCTAGGGTCCTTTGTTCTTTCAACTTGATACAAAAGACCCTTTGCACCTAGCAGTCAAATGTACAAAATGCCATACTGTATTGAATGTCATTGTGATCAAAGTTTCAAAATGTATAGTCTTCAAGTCCCTGAGGATTAATCAAATCATCATCACTTCCATCAATAGTGATTAAGCATCCTGTTTTCTGGAAAAGTCTCTTGATAAAATCTTTGTCCTTTGATAGTACTCTCCATGCTGCACCTGTCCACTTTGTCATGAGGACCCTCCTCTGCCGTGCAGTGATTTTATCGTGCCACAGTTCTAAATTGTCCTCCTCTTCAAGCCACTTGTTCATCTCCTCTCCAATTTTGATCTTAAGCATTTTACCAAACCCTGCATCGATGGGTTGTATCTTGTCAGTGTGGCAACAGATACACAACAGCATTCAGGTCTCGCCTACAAATATCATGAAACTGTTGTTGTGATTGGCCGTTCTTTAGGCTTTATTTCACTTTAAAACACTGCTTACAATTCAAGATGGCGGTCACATTTCGATATCCTATAACCGCTGGTCAAAAGTACTTAGGTAAGCGTACAGGGAGCCCAACTTTAACAAAGCAATATTACAACATNAATGCTTTATTCCGCGAGTAAAGGCTTGTTATTTGATATAGATTCCGGAAATTGCGCTTACGCGTACGAGTATAAATGAACTGCTTTTGCCGTTTGTTAACCATAATTCGCTTGTACAACTCACTGTGAGCACACTATCAAGCCACGAGTTCTTCAACTTCTACTTTGTCTTTTAACTAATACTTTAGTGTTGACAGTGTGTCAGTCATCTGTCAATTGATTCTTCAGTTAACGTCATGACCGAGGTTGTAGATAAAAAATGGTATTTGAAGTACGTGGAAGACGAAGGCGTTTTTGTCAAGATTGGGGACGCAAGATTTCAAACAAAGACTGGTCAGCTGACTGAACATATACTGAAATATATTCCCTGTAAACAGAAGAAACAACAAAATTTTGTCACGGTGAGTAAGCCAATGAAGTAAGATTATTGCCTGCTGTTGATTGATTGATAGTTGTATTATTACCTAATCTTGGAATAAAAGTTGACAATCGAGTCTAAGATTTCGCGAGTTTATAAATGTTTTTGAACTTTTGCTAACGTTTTCCTGCAATCATTGAACAAAAGCACGCATTCCATAACATTAAAAAAATCAAAAACACTTCGTTGTCAAACAGTTAGTTGCGTGCAATTCTAAACCGTAATCGATCAAAGACTGACTAAAATACAAATGCTGAATAATAGAGAAGTTTCTTCGGTTTGCCCTTTTCATGAAATTATGCTTTTTTGTGTGTTAGATATGCTTTAAAGTACCAACCTCGCCAAGTGGAAAAGCCCAAGCGAAGTTTAATATAGAGAACTTCCAAAAGGACCTCTGCACTTCCTTGASAGGTCTAGAGCCTACAATGATTGCTGTAGACTTTGTAGCAAAGGTAAAAGAGCAAACTATATCGGATGCACAGTCGTCCACAATCGATATCAGCGAGTCTGCAACACCCCTGAGCGCCAGTCCAGTAAGCACACCAAGAAATACACCAACAACAGCAGCTGCACCTAAGAAAAAAAGCAAGAGACCAGCTACAGCACACGAAAAAGTTGACTTGCCGTCACCAGAAAAGAAATTCCGTGCGTGTGACATCGACCAGAAGATCGACAGTGCTTATATTGGTATGCTAAACTCTCTGGTGTCAAATATTGACGTAGAGTCTATAAACTTTATAAACTAACGTTCTGCATATGAACATCTTATGTTTTAGGACACTTTCATCTAAAAGTTGATAGTCTGGTAAACTTCTGCCCTGACAGATGGATTGATCGTCAACTAGATAGCGATCACGTCAAAGAACTAGAAGAGGGGTTAACAAACAACCCAACTCTCCTCAAGAACCAGCAGCCGTGGATTGGTATAACGGATCTAACAAAGACAGACCTAGCGGCAGCGGGGGCTAAAGCAGCTATTAAAGGCTGTCGGATTACTGTCATTGGTGGTCGACATCGACAGGCAGCTTATAACAAGGTAAATTGTTTTTGATTTATAACGTGAACGACTAGAAATCTGTATTTCCTTTGTTTGGACTCATGGGAAACAATAAGGTTACACGTATATCAATATGAAATAGTCAAGCATAGATAAATATTAGTATTTGTAATCTTTTTACGAAATTTGACAGGTCTCAAAAGTCAGCAGCGTCCACTCCATGGAACTTGAGAAAGTCTGGATTGACCTCTATGGAAGTGAGTTGAATGACGAAGAAATCAGGCGTCTGGCATGTACACACAATACTGCAAACAAAGGTAGTATGGCTACCAATTATGCAACGCGTGTACGAGCCTGTCGCCAATGGCTCTACAAATTGGCTGGGAAAGATCCGGAGAATGACGAAACCCCTTCATCGACACAGCAGTGGAAGATCGCGTGCCAAAAAATGTACGCTCCATCAGATAAGGTAAACACTGATGAATATATACAAACAAACATGATTAGGGTAATAAAGATATGTGTTTCACATCCAATTCCTTTAAAACTTGATTTGATAGGATCCAAACACCCTCGAGCCAACTTTGCAAGCTGCTTTACTGAGCAAAAACTTATATGAAGAGTTTTCAAAGGTTTGTGAGATGTTTTACCGGGGAGCGCTGAAAGATCAAAAGGTCACAAAAAGAAAGGGAGGAAAGGTGGAACTTACTCAGAACCAGGTAAGCTATAAGACCAACAACGGAGAAAAAGGGGATACTATCATTACTTTGGATTCTAAATCTGATTATATTTATTTTACGCAGCTTGGTATGCCTCTACAAGGCCTGAACGAAGACTCCAAGCTGGCCGTACTAAGAGAGGTTACAACTAAAAAGCTCTCACTGAAAGAGATGAAGAAAAAATGCGAAAGAATTAAAAAGAAACAGCTTGTTGTCGCAGCGTTTTTGAGACATGCAGGAGAAAGTTCGTGGGAAGCGTTAAAGGAAAGATTTCCTCTACATACCACAGAAGAAAAAGTTGCTCAGTTTAGCGAGTCGTCCATTACAAAGACGAAAACTCCACAGGTACTGTATAGGCTACTTTAGTTCGAAGTTAAGAATTATTGAATAATATTGACGCTCATGTAATTCAAAATAATTACTTATTAGTTTTTTTCAAATAGTAAAACTATTAAACTAGTAAACTAGAATAAGAATACTATTCTATTGATTTGAAATCAAATATAAAAGCGGATGCACATGTATCGGTATTAATTCATTAATTCATTCTTTCCTTTCATCCTTTTACATTTATTATTTTCTGATTCATTCCTTTTTTTCTTTTCTTTTCTTTTCTTTTCTTCAGGAAGTTATCAATTTCTTTGAAAAAGCCATTGAATGGGAGAAACAGGAAGGACCAATCAATTTGCAGGAGGAGAGGGAGGGGATCTTTATTTACAGCAAGGGGAATCAGTATGGCATACTGATGGAGGGAAACATTGGAAACATTGGCACTGAGAAAATCAAAAGAATCGTTGGAAAGGTTCCCTTTAAAGGATTCTCTCTCGTGACTGTGTCATTATCAAGTGTAAGTACGTAAGAAGTATTTATCCGGAAATTCACCTTTTCGCACTTTACGGACAGACCAGACGTTTTTCATGTTTTTTCTCGCCACATACTTTGGGCACGCGGTTCAATCGTCGTAAATGAGTATATTTATCGTAATCAAGGTGATAGCGATTAAAGAACAATCTGCRCATGCTACTGCCAATTTTRGATGTCTGTGCACATCTAATGATCACAAACTCATTTAAGAATATTTGTTGTAAKAGGATTTGACAACAAAGCAACTRCAGCTGTTTCTAAATTGCATCCACGCAGCCAACGTAGACAACCTCAGTTATTATACTGTYGTTCTGTTTGTCGAACCAACCGAAGTCAATGCCATTAAAGGTGCTTTGGAGAGCAGGTTTGRCGTCGTTGAGACAGCCTACTGGATAGACATGAAAAAGTGTACTYGGAGAAAAGGGGGTAAGCATTATATTTTAATTATTAAATCAGTGACATGAACATACTTTACAGCCTTTTTCATCCTCTCTTATTTCCGGTATAAGAG